CAATCACCATACACTAAGAACAAATAAAGAATTAAACTAGTAATTTCACGTCCTTTCTTTTTTTATAAATTATTAACTAAGTTTCGAAATCAATATTTTTAACCAATACTCTTTCAATGGATAAGATATCCAAGTCAGGTTTTATCGAAAAAAAAAAATAACTCACCTCGTCAAAGATGATTCACCAGAAGAAACATAAATTGAAAAATTGTATCACTGTGAAATTTTCAGTTTTAGCATTTTTTATCTAACATAACAGAAGATAAAACAAACTTTTATTTGTATCTTAATGTTTTAATAATAAATTATTGTTTCTAGCGTTAAAAAGTAAAATAAAGAAGCTCATATTTCTATTGTGGGGCTACATTTTGTTTATCCCCAAACTATTAACATCTAATTAATGTTATAACTAAAAAAAAAATTGATGCCCTTAAACTTAAAAAAAAAAATTTGATGCCCTAAGCAAATGATTAACAAATTTATACTATGTCACGGCTCTGGAGATACTCTTTCTTGAGTTTTTGTGTTGTGCATGTGCAGTTCAGATTTGATGAGTTTCACTGGAATTTGATCAGAAGTTTAACCTTTTTGAAGCATCAGAAGTTTAACCTTTTTGAAACTCTCAGCTTCAAAAACAAACACTTAAAGAGCCAACGAGACAAAATATCACTTTGTCCTTTACTGGGTTTTGTTAAAAGCCCACAATTTTTTTCTCTCTAACGATCATGATCACCACACACGTATATATGATATATACTGAAACAAAACTTAAGCATCAAGACACGACAATACATCTTCCTTTAGGTTATCCCAGCTCAAGGCTAATTTGTAATAATGTGGTCTCGTAGTTTTTTGGTTTGGAACCTGAAAAAGATCTTCTACAGATTCTCTCTTTGTCCTTTGTTCATGTTACGTGCATTGCTTGTTTTCTACTTAATTATGTGGAGCTCCTATCGTCGTCTTTGACGTACAAAACTTAATCGAATTGAACCGGAGGATCTAAGAGTTTTGGTTCGATTTGGTTTTTTTACATAACCAAGGTTTTGTATGCATGGTTTTCGAAATTTGAAGTCCTAGCTAGGCATGTCAATTAGGGTTAAAGCCCGAAGCCCGATCCGCCCCAGCCCTTAAAAATACCGGGTTCGGACCTGAATATATAAGCCCAGAAAAAATCGGGCCTTTCGGGCTCAACCCATTCGGGCTATTGAGTTTTTGGGTTTTAGCCCGATTGGACTCGGGCCGGCCCGGAAAGCCCGA